TCTTTTGTTATGATTAAATTATCGTCTATAAAACTATTTTATATCCATCGAAAGAAATGTGTAAGTATTTATGATATTTTGCTTTTAAATAATCTTTTTTCAGTCATAATTTCCGGCAGTTGCTATACTGCCAGGCAACCTAATTAGCATCAGCATTATCAAATCAATTGGAATAATCGAAAGGAACCGGTTTATCTGCAAAATATTTTCAGTAGATCTAAAATCATCAATAGAGTTCATTTGAAAATAATGTCCAGAATTTAGGGGTGAAGAAACTGTCTACTAGAAATTTCTATTTGAAAATTTTCTACAGAACAAGAACTAAAAAAGTCGTTGGGCATTATCGGTAATCATCCCCAAAACAAATCAGATCTGCATTTAATTTTCATCACATGCCAAAAACACTTTCTCAACTCAACAAGGCATGTAAAGATCACAGCAAAGTATCAAATAACGATTATGTGGTTAAGTAAGCAAGTCATGACGATACGCACGCGTCATCAATGAAAATAATATTAGATGTGAACACCACAAATGCTATTGAGCGATATTTATAAGGAAAAATGTGTGATTCACAATGCTATGACTCATACGACTTTCTTATCACATCACAATTTATATTTTTCGTTCATTCATATTTTATTGTGTCCAAAATGTGCTATGTATGGAAATGCCATAAAATGTCAGCATTAACAGAGTGAGACGTAAAAAAAGGTGTTCAAAGACCTTCAGTTGCGGTTTATGTCATTTCTTTATTAAATTTCCGAATTGAAGCATTTTATAGCACATTTTGGTGATAAAACGTAATCCGCTTCCAAATTAAACATAAATAATTGAAATAGTAGACTTTAAATTAATTTACAGTCACATAAAAATGAGAAGAGATGTTGCTGAACTCGTCATAGTTTATTGCATCAGCAGATACGTGCAGTTCTTTTTATTTTTTTTTAAAAAAAAGTAAATGTTGATATTTTCCCGAAACGCAATAAAGTGGTAGAATCGTAAACAGAAAGAGAGGAACAATCGAGTGCAATATGACAGAATAATGTAATAATACCTAAATTTATATCTTCATATACAATTGCAACTGTATGTGTGAACCATGTGCCGTAAAAAACTAGGGAGAGTGAGATAAGAAAAATAAAATTTTTGGAAATGCCATTAAATATTTTTACACTTATATCCCCTTACAGGAACCAAAAGACAAAACGTATGCATTATGTTTTCAGGATGTTTGAATATAAACAGGAACAACACAACAGATGGGAAGTTTTGCTGCATCTCTAATACAATCAAAATATTCTCAAGACAATACGTAATAAGCAGTATGTGTTAAAATGTCCTCGAAATTTCAATAATTCGTTTGTTGCACCGCACATTATGGTTTTGAAGGTCTTCTTCCTTCCTCAGTTATTCGGAAAAGTAACAGAAAGTTGAAAGATAATCGCAAGATGTATAATAGAGATTGCAATCGGAACAGGAAGTATATAAAAGTTATTATTGAATATTCATTGAGGAATTGACATGCAAGAGTAACTGGTCGTTTATTTGAAATTAGCTAGTTAAAAAGGCAGGTAACAAAAAGTCATTAATTTTTGAAATAGTAAAAATTATGAAGCATAGAAAAGTTTTGTGACTAAAAATTGTATTTAATGCACAGTCACATACTTTTCAAAGTATAGAAAATTAACAATTGACAAGCTTAGTTCTAGGAACTGGTCAGAATTTAAGGGGCACTTGCTATATGATTTAATTTTGGAACTTTGAAGTTTTCTGCCTAGCAACTCTTCATTTTATAATTAAGTCACCACAAGTGAATGACCTCTACTACTAGCCATAGAACACAAACAAAAATTCCTAAAATTTTATGGCTTCTTAAGTTGTTTTTTGTGGTTGATTAGATAGACAAATATAATGCAAAATTTATTCACAACCGTTAACAATTGTTGGTCAGTTCTCATCTAAGATTTCATTACTTAATATGGTGAAATTCCTAAATTTCTAGGCGTCTCCGATCTCTTATTAATGTAATTGCATATTCATGGAAATATAAAAATTTATTTGGGGTGGTTTTGAGCGAGAAAGGTCTTCTTTTTCTCATAGAATTTCAAGTTTTTCGTTGATACATAACTGTTGAGAATATACGGCCTGTTTCACTAAGGTGATTATCCACTGATCGGATTATCCACTTTTTCAATCCGAGGATAATCCATGATTTTTTTTACTGCGTTAAACTGCACGGTGAATCAGAAAAAATGGATTTAAAAAAAATAATTTTTTGACAATGGATTTCACAAAAAAAGATTATCCTAGAAGGTGGATTATCCTAGGATTATCCACATAATTAATCCAAAATGTTAAAACTGGGTCCCCCCAAGATTGAAAATTTGGATAATCTTCAGGATTATCCTAGGATAATCTTAGAATAATCCATATACTAAAATCTTTTTATTGGATAGTGAATATAGCAAAAAAATGATTTCAAACTGTTCTGATTATTATTGACCAATTCAGACCAATTAATTCTACATCACAAAAAAAATATTTGGATTTTCCGCGCATCGAAGAAATAGATAATCTTAAAATGAGGATAATCAACCTTAGTGAAACAGGCCGATAATGTTAACCCCAGTCTGTTTCTAATTATCGAACAATAAACATCGTTATTAATTACAAATCCGTGAGGAGTCTTTAATTAACTTTATCAATAAAAAAACTTGAAAAAAACAATAATAAGACGACCTCTTATCTTTTTAACATTTCACATCTCATTCCTGCCATTTTTAATCAATTTATTCAATATTGCATCCCACTTATTTGACATTTTTAAAAAATGCATGGATCTCTGCCAAAACAAGCACAATATTATTTTAAAACGCAAAACTCCATTGACATGATTGTAAATTAAATTATCCATAAACGAATCAATATTTAAAGCACATCACTGCACAATTTCTTGCACTACAGGGAAATTTTATTAATTAAATATTGAAATCTAATGAAAAAATTTTCTCCCATCGTTCTGCTCCCAAGCATCCATAAGTCACTTTGTGTCTAGATGATGGAAATGACAACTCATTTTCTTCGTACTCAATTTAGCTCAATTGATCAATAACGTTCATTTCCTTTAAAAAACATTTTTAACTTGTGTCGTAGGCACTCTTTTTATTATTTTTATATTTTTAAAGAAGAAAGTTTTGCAATAATGACTCATCTAAAACACGATCTTGACGCTGTTTTCTCATGAAGTGATTAAATGAAAATAAGAAAATAATAAAACAAGAGAAAAGAGCTGCTTGAGGAGAGATGACGAGAAATGTGTCACAGAACGACTTACACCGGTGAATAGACAAATTAAAATTTTTTATTTATAAACAAAGAAAAAGTCCGATTGAAATGACAAGAATGAAGACGAAGAATCTCGACCCGGTTGTTGTTTTTGTTCCTCAATATTCTATGGTGAAAGGAATATTTTTAGATTACGAGACGATGGGTTTTGTTCGTAAGTTACGTCCGATACAACTTAATTTGTGACAGAGTGGAGGATATAGATCTGAAAATTCTATTTTTTATTTGACGTCACTAGTGAACTACTCCATATGAGCCCGTCTGAGAAATTCCAATGGAAATACTTTCTTTAACATAGATTACAGCGAGATTAATCTAAAGACTACTTAATTCTTGTTTATGCAGACATTCTGAAGTCTCAAAAATTATGATAATTAGTTGATAGATTACAAAAATATTTCACGCTTCTTCTATTTCTTTGGAGCGTAACAAATTAAACTTGTAGCGTGATAATGAAACTTATCGTCTCTGTCGATGTCGTCATAATCATTTTTCTGTATTTTGGCACTTTGCTGATGTCATTTTCTTTCGCTTTTTAACAGCATGATGTGACACTTGCATTAGCTTTTTCTCATACCGGCATTTTTCATGTCGGAAAATTTATTTTGTGGAAAAACTTAAAATCAATAAATCTTGTCGCGTGAAAATATTCAACTATTTTAAAAACTAGCACTAAAAGTTTGCGTGATTATATTTGGAGGAATTTTCCTGTTATTAATAAAAGCATTTTAATTTGACCTTACCTTAGTTGATGTTTATTAAATTGCTGCTTTTTTTTCAATGGCAATTCACTCAAATCTAATGAATATGTAAAAATCCTTGAAACTTTATGCCTTTAATGTGAGAATTCACTTGTAGATTATTATTTTTTTGCACTTTTTGTGATAATTTTATTTTTATTGATATCGAGGCTCAATATACTTTAATTTTATTAACTCGACTTTATATACTTTTGATAAGAATTTTCACACAGACAGCTTCTGCACTTTTTTGTTTAAAATACACAAAACTCTTTATATATCTCTCTATAAAATTAACTACACTCGCGTGCACGGAAAATATTCGTTCTTATTACGAGAAATGTCAAGCGATGACTGAGAGGAAATTGTATTTTGTCCGTAGACTACTCACTTTATTTTTTTGTACTCTCTGTTTTGCTTGCCTCATTCATTCGTCTGCTGTGCTATTCGTAAATGTATTTGTGTTAATTCTTTGATGACGCAATATTCATGATCTCATCTTAACAGACTTTTATTGCTGGATGTTTTTTCTTCTTCGCGCGCGATATTATTGATAACTTTCAGATACTTTATTACATGTAATTTGATTAACACAATGATTTAATTATAGTATAATTTGACAGTTCTTCTTAATTATTTTGTTATTAGCTAATGTCACTTATTATTTACATAAAGTTCCTGTAAGAATTTTTCAATAATATCAATTTACAAAGCTATCTTAAACAATAATCAACAACTCATTGAATTATCACTATAGTTCAGAGATTTTTGATCAATCTACCACATTAATAACAGCTTAATTTAATTAATAAATACGATTTTGATTTAAGGCTTTTCCGTTTGTTTTTGAAATTTGCGTGACTGACACTTTTTCTGATCAACTGTCAAAATAAATTCAAAACTTGCGAATCGCACGGTAAAATCTTATTAGAAAAATTATTGTGAAAATTCAAAGAGAAATTTTGTAAATTAAAGAAAAAGACAGCTGATCTCATTGGTATAAGCTTAATTATAATAGTTTTTGTCTCTGAAGTGTGTACTAACAAAGTAATTGATAATCTAACGTCCTATATGTGAATTTCAAGCTTTTATTTTACTCACAATAAATTTGCAAAAAAATCAATATTTTCACTTCTAGAAAATTGCTTAAAAAGCTTATTTGGACACTCATTTTTGGATATTCCTGCTATAAATTGCTTTAATAAATTACTAATTGGCTATCTAATCTGCTATATATGCATTAAATGTTAAAAATCAGTTTGCTGAATATTTGTGTGATGACGCATACTTTTTCTTCTTTTTAATACTTATTTATTCATTTTTTGCCTACCTTCAAACAACAACTTTAGATCAGCAAAACTGGAGAGTTTAGATCGTCTTAAACAATTTTCTAAAATGGAAAGAAAAGTAGAGCTGGAGCGCAAAAAGGCTAAATTGCAAGCCTTGCGCGAGGAGAAGGAGAGAAGAAGAAAGGAGAAGGAACAAAAAGACTTGGAGGAAGCTAAGACTGGAGTAACGGTTGAGAAAGACACCAGAAAGTTAGTTGAACCTGCTTTTAAGGCTCATTTTTGATGCTAATGGAGATTTGTATCTTAATTATCTATATATTATTAGAGATCTAGACGAGATGCTTTCATCGCTAGGTGTGGCTCCTGTATCCGAAGTATTATCCTCTTTATCTTCCGTGACTTCTGTCACATCAGAAACATCAATGCAGACTCCAGATGCTAGCTTAGCGCCGACGTTAAATGGTCAAAGGTAAAATCAATAAGAATTCGTGTAATAAAAACAATTTCTAACGGGATGTTCCATATTGTAGCATAAAAGTCAAGAAAGCGCAAGCTTTATCGATAGTTCAGGTGCAAGTGACGAATATTCAACCAAAGGAAAATGTCGTGTACACGAAACAGACACAAACGACTAGTTCTGGTACTCATCATGAATTGCGAGATGGTAAGTACTTAACAATTAATGATTTTTGTGTGGTTTTTAAACATTTGTTTAGCTTTGACACACAATTTTTCAACTAGTAGTAAGCAGACAACCTCATTAATTCATTTTAACTAATCATTGATTAACAAATTTCGTAGATTTTGATGTTTTTTTTGGAACTTTTTGCCTACTTTTTGTATTTTTGATTTTTTTTTGTGCATCTCATAAACCATTCCTTAGTCCTGAAACAATCATGCTATTAGAAACTATCTCGTGATTCTATCCAATCGTGACAAAAACTAGCTTAAAGATACCTTTACAGACGAAGAATATATCTTACCATATTACCTAATATTGAAATAAAATAACAAAAATAGTTCTTTCTTGTCATTCTTCGCCTATGTCAGGATTAATTGAAGATTGGTGGCGACCAAGAAAAGGTAAAAATTAACAAAACAAAAATGAATGTGCAGCTTTAATTGGCATTTTCAAAATTTACCCGGACACACAAACAAAACTTTATAAATTTTTTATGTTTCGCGGATAAAAAAAAAAAGATTGGAAGTTAAAGTTACTTTTTTATGTTTGCTTGATCATGATGCGGACGATTGTCGTTCATCTAATCTTAATTTTCAACTAATTTCTAACACATTTATTTATCTCGATAAAACAGCTTAAAATCGCTAATGGATAACATTTAATTCATGAATCTAATTTGATTTTTTCTCTTTTTTGTGATTCTTTTGTGTATTTACAGCTCACGCAACCGATTATTATGGTAAGTGATTTGTTAATTTTGTTCCTTTTTAGAAATAATGAAGTCAAATTCAACACATTAAAAAAACAACAACATTAAAAAAGCTTCATAGACATTCTGAGTCTACGATTCTATGCGAAATTTATAACGAAATTCTATCGAGAAAATGCTTTTCTATTACTTTTTTATCAAATTTATTTTAATTTTTAATTTCTCCACCCATTTTTTTCATATTAGTTTATAATTTATTTAAATTAAGTAATATTAAGCATGATAAGCGACATCATCAATGTGCTATAAAAACGATGTACCTTTTTTTCAAATAAATCACGAATTTTAAAAGTGATATTTTTATGATACGATTGCGAATATTTTATGAATGAATTTGAATATTTGCTAAGGTGGTGCATAAAAAAGACATAAAAACTATTACTTTGTAGACTAATACAACATTTGTTGATTTATTTTAAAATTTAAGAACTGTATCGCTATCAAACTAATATAACTGAATTATTTTTTAAATTTTTTTATGTAAGAAAATTCATGTCATTTCGTGGGTCGTCTATCATTTTTTTAAGATATTAATTATGTTAATTTCTTCGTCAAATTGAAATACGTACGTCATTTGTTTACACAATCATTTTACGTACGTATTTTGTTTGCGTAATCATTTTACAAACTTAGACGCCCCACAGAATAATCTCATCAATATTAAGCACATTGTTTTTGTTTCATTCTTAATTAATTTATTTTATTTACTCCCAATGATCACTTTTTAGATTATTTTTTATATCTTTTTTTTTAAAATTTAATTTCATTCTATTTTTCGTATGAGTGTGTTTCATGTTTTCGATAGCTTTTGCCAAGAAAATGCATCAGAAATTGGCAATTTTTTTTAAAAAATCCAAAATTTGATTAATGAAAAATGAAAAGAACAATTAAAGTTAAATTGAGTTATTCTCTCTCTATTTTTTAAGATGAATATAATCTTAATCCAGGGATCTTAGAATGGGAAGATGAGTTCACAGGTAAGAGATGATAAAAGAGAAGAATACGGTATTCTTTCTTGCATATCTTTCGTACTGTGACTAAATAATTTTTTTTATATAAATAATGCATAATTGCCTTTATTAAATATTTGTTTTGCCATTAAACTCGTCACACGATCTCATTTTGATTGAGCATCGTGAAAATCATTCATCAAAATGATGAAACTATAAGTAAAACTAAACTATTGCAACGCTGAGCCGAAATATATAATTTATGTTAATTTTTTTTCCATAGTTTTATAATTTTTTCTGGTTTCTGTGTGAATGTTGAGAATGCTGGAATTTTTGTGCTTGCTTTGCCTGCCTATCTTGTTCATATCCTTACAAAAAGCTTTCACTATATCCTAATGTACATCTAGATACTAATCAATCACTCAACGTTAACTTATTAAAGGATTTAGACACTTTGAGGTTGATTTTATTTTTGAATAAATCTTGAATAATAAAAATTTTTCTCTTGAAAGTGTCTGAGCCTTGCCTGAATTTAGCATCATGACTAACAATTATGCTTTTGTAAATAACTTTCATATTCCTCAACTGACAATATTCTAATCACAAAATAAATGTCAAATAATCGATTTCATGAAAGAAGAAAAAAAAGTTCATAAAAAATCGAGAAAAATAATTTAAAGATATTAAAAATAAAATTGGGTGGAGAAATGTAAAATCAAAATTTATATATTAATAAGATTTATAAATATGAACATAAGCAGTATGTCTAAAAACGATAGTTGCGTGACAATGCTATGAACAAATTGTATAGAAAAAACGCAACATTGCACTTCGAAACTCAAAAAACACACAACATTAACGTCAAATAAACTAAAATGTGGTTGAGAATCATCTAAACTAATGAACAAATCCACCGGTAATGACATAATGTCATCGGGTAACTTAAAATATTCATTAAAGTGTGAGGAAATTCAATTAGGTATGAGAGGAACTGTATGTAACGGAAATACGTACGTATTAATTTCTTACGTGACAGATTTATGTACGTATGAATTTTAGATGAGCTTAATTTTACGTACGTATTTCTAAACACAAACCAGACAGAGACAAACAGCCACAAATATCTCCCTACTAATATCAAAGCAACTTTCCTAAGTTAGAGGTAACATACAACAGACAGAACCAAGCAAGAATAGAAACTGATTGATTAGATGTTTCGTTTAGTTTCAAACTGCATGATTGACCAACGAGAGATTTCCTAGTTTTTGATTTGTTGACATATTAGATTTTTGGAACCACATTTGATTTTATTTGATAAAAAAAACTGTAAATTCTATGCCTTCTTATTATCCTTTTCTTTAAAAAACTAAAAAAATTATGCACATTGTACATAGAAATTTTATTTTTATGATTTTTGTACGATTCATAGCTTCCAAATTCACATTATTATTATTATTTTTATGCACAATTGTTCTTACTTTAGCTGCATTTTTTATGTATGATAGATAAAGAGTTTTGTTCATTTTTAATTATTTTATTATGTCGAAAGAAATGAAAACCTTAAGAAAGTTCGGTTCTTAGCAATGTTGAGTTTTACTTATACAGTGCTTACTTTTGGGGACGCTCAAGGCGATGATGAGGATCACTCGTTATCACATTTGGACCACGGAGGATTTCATTCGAAGCTACCACCTGGAATTTTACCACATGGATTGCCGACAGTTAAGGAAGTCGCTCCAGCAATTACGCCACAAGAATACAAAAAAGATGACATGAAAATAGGTGATAATAAATATTTTAAGTCATGAATGTGCAATAAAGTTAATGCAATTATTTACTTGCAGCCAAGGAACTGTCTGAGGAACAAAAACAAATGATTATCTTATCAGAAGATTTTCAACGTTTTGTTTTAAAGTCTGGAAAAGTTATGGAGAGGGCTTTATCAGAAGTTGTTGACATATACACAGATTATATCGGTGGAAGTGAATCTGACGAGGGATTGTGAGTACTTTTTCTATTAAAATTAACATTACTTAATTCATAAAAATTATTAAATGAAGAGATGAGAAGTCATCAGCACGATTATCACTTAATCGAGTCTTTTACGATGATCGTTGGTCAAAGAATCGATGTGTGACATCATTTGACTGGTCAACACATTTCCCAGAACTAATGGTAGCATCATATCACAATAATGACGAGATGCCAAATGAACCGGACGGTGTTGTTGTCGTTTGGAATACAAAATATAAGAAGCATACTCCAGAGGATGTCTTTCATTGTCAGAGTGCTGTAATGTCGACATGCTTTGCTAAATTTCATCCAAATTTAATTCTTGGTGGAACATATTCTGGACAAATTGTATTATGGGATAATCGTGTACAGAAACGTACACCAATTCAAAGAACTCCACTTAGCTCAACAGCACATACTCATCCAGTTTATTGCCTAGCAATGGTTGGGACACAAAATACTCATAACTTAATCTCAGTCTCATCTGATGGACGATTATGTTCATGGAGTTTGGATATGTTGTCACAGCCACAGGATGTCCTCGAATTACAACAGAAACAGACTAAACCAATTACTGTTACATGCATGTCATTTCTTCAAGATGAAATCAATAATTTTGTACTAGGTAGTGAGGATGGATATGTTCATTCTGCATCACGTCATGGCAATCGTCCGGGAATCATTGAGACTTATGAGAAACATTTAGGTCCAGTTACTGGAATATCAACACATCAGAATCAAGTGTCATCAGATTATTCACATTTGTTCCTTACATCGTCTATTGATTGGACGATTAAATTATGGAGTTTAAAAGACACAAAGCCATTATATTCATTTGAAGACAATTCTGATTATGTTATGGACGTAGCATGGTCACCAACACATCCATCATTATTTGCAGCCGTTGATGGAAGTGGTCGATTAGATTTATGGAATTTAAATCAAGATACTGAAGTTCCAACATGTTCAGTCGTTGTTGAAGGTGCACCAGCATTAAATCGTGTTTCTTGGACACCTTCAGGCTTACATGTAACAATTGGTGATGAGTCTGGTAAAATTTATGTCTATGATGTTGCTGACAGTATTGGCGTTCCAAAAATAGATGAATGGCAGAGATTTGGTGCCACTTTACATGACATAAAAATGAATACGAACGAAGATTTTGAAGATATTGATAAATCAGCTTCCATTCCACAGCAGCCAGCATCACTGACGGGAACAGCAGTGGTTTAAATAAAGAATACGTGATAAAGTTGAGATAAAGTGCTTGATATTTTTTATTATACTTACCTACAATGTCTTAACAATTTACAATGTCATATTTCAGCTAATGTTCTTTTGAAAATTTAAAAATCATAATTTATTCTTAATGGATAGTAATGCTGAACGCTCTAATAAAGAAAAATCATAATCCTAAATCTTATAACATAAAATAACACCTTTTGTTTGAATTTTATTATTTGCAGAATATTAAATTCAACGCAACAGATTAGGCATAGATATGTAGGAACAGGTTGAAAAATGTATGTTTCTGACAAACTTTAAGGGTCGATCCCAGTCCAAAGACCAACTTTTAAGCATATCCTCTTTGAAAAACCTTTACTTCCATAGAAAAAAATTTTTGTTGGATTATTAAAACAGATGCTTGAATCTTTGTAGATGTACATCATCCATGCACATGTTGTTATGCTTTTAGAACTGTTAGATTTTTGTTCATTTCTGAAACATATGATTCATTCCGTTGAATCAAAAAAATATTGAATCATGGACGACGATAAGAACTTGTTTTTCCTAGCCTTTCGACCTTCAAATGGTCTAAAACTGTTACAAAATCTTCATCCAAAAAGTGATGAATCTAAATTTTCTTTTAAGATCCATTACTTCCTGTATGGACGAAAACAATACTAGCCTTCACACCAAAGCGGACACCCCACAATGTAACTGTTGCGAGATTACTCTTGGGATCAAGAACAAACCCACGTTTTAAGGAAATTTCCCATTGACCTTTTAACTTGACTCCAAAAGCTCTTTCTAGGCTGATTCTTCCACAGGTTCCACAGTGACGGGCGCAACATCAATCTTGTCAGGATGGATGTCAACAGTTCTTTATGTCCTGCACTCTATCAAAAGCAGCGTGGAAGTTCGTTTGCTTTATACGTAAGTCGTGATTTTTTAAAAATAGAACTGCGTTCTAAATTTAAATTCCTACAATAAACAATCAACAACTTTCTTCTTATCAGTAAATTATTCAATTTAGCCATTAGTAAATTGATAGTGATGAGTATTTCTAGAAAATGATTATTAATGACTGTGGGGGTGCTCTATTAATACGAAACAAATATTTTAGATATGATTAATGTTCTGCAAAGGGGTGTAGTTAAAATTTCAATCTGACTGTACAGACAAAAATCAATAAACCATTCATTTTGCTGTCCAAATTGCATCAAATCAATAAAGTTGTTACTTAAACACTTAAAATATATTAAAAGATAAATTTCTAAATTGGAAGTAGTTCCTGTGACCTAATATCTAACGTCCTGGCTATCTTAAAGTGGCCTTAGAAAAAAGATAGGATTTTTATTGAACTTCATAAACCATTTTCTTCAGCTCATTAGTCCGCTCCGTGAGAGTAGCACGTGTTTCTGTATACTACGAGGAAGCATTTAAAGATAAGCAAAAAATAAAAGTTCGTAAAAAAAATTCATTCGTATTTTTTGTTTCATATCATCTTTTTGCCCGAGCACGTCCATAGTCGATCGCATACGAAAGAGAATATTTAAGTCGGTTTTGAAGGAACAAATTCATTCACTTCTCTCTCGAGTGTCGACATAGTTACACGATATATATTTTTGTTCCTGTCCTGTGCGCTTTACAGAGTGATTGTGTATCATTTCTAGATTTTTTTATTGCATTAGTTGTGTAACTTTTGTGAATTATTGACAGAAAAATGTGCGAACCAGTTACTGAAATTTATCCTAAGGATCAAACTATTGAGCTACGCAATAAAATCATCGGGTATGAAATTTTATTAAAGGATTTTTGCAATAAAATCAATTTCTAATTTCAATGTCGATGCCAAATTTACAGAAAGTCATGTTCTCTGTTCTACAAATCGGAACCATTAAAAATCGTCCGTGGTGAAGGGCAGTATATGTTTGACGAGAAAGGCACAAAATATTTAGATTGTATCAACAATGTTGCCACGGGTAAGTCCAATTAAACCTTAATTCTTCTTATCTCGAAGCTTAATTTCTTCGCGTGTGACTTAAAATGTTGTGAAAATAAAACTGACCGTATAAAAAAAAGTTACAAAGTACAAAATTTAAATGGCAATGAACTTTCGATGCTTGATAACGGAATTTAGAGATATAAAATATGCAAAAGAGTCATTTAGATTATCAGTTTGACGTCCTTTACGGATAAAATTAATAAACTTTTCTGCGAAAAAAAAACAAAAATAAATATTTTTTTCAATGTCATGATAAGGAGTTGTGTTTTGAGAGTTTATATATATTTAGAAGCTATAGCTTTGCGCACGTGCGAAAACATGCTATTTTTCCCTCTCAGAACGACTTGTTAATAAAAATAATAATCAGCTGTTGATGCTTCTTTGTTTATTATCACTTGAAATATTAATAATCATCTTTTGTGTTAATTAAATATTGAATAATCTCTGTTGATCTCGAAAACTTTCCAAAATTGACTCGACATGATTAATTAAGTGGCAGTTGCAAAACTACTTTCGACACTTTCAAAAAATGCCATTTATACACGTTCTCAAAAATCAATCAAAAAATTAATGTTAATCTTATTAAAAGTTGAGGTTTGAGCCAAACATGTGCATTGTGCTGAATAATGCAAACATGAATGGCAACTTCAAAAGACTTAATGGAACCAATTCGATCATCTCTGGTTTTAAAATAACTGAGTCAGTTTTGGCAGTATTTAACAATATTGAGGTGGATCTGGAATTTAAATGGCATTTCTGACAACAGCAGTAAATGATCGTGAAATAATCGATTATTTGCAGTTGTTTTTTGGTGGTTCACTTATTACGTTACGCCCCCCCCCCCCCCCTTACCCCCTTGAACGTTCATAATTCAAATTTTTTTCGTGAACTTTTTTTTAAAAGAACGTTACATTTTTCTTGACCCCCCCCCCATGTTACATTTTGTTACAGTTTTTCAAACCCCCCCTCCCCCCTAAAATGCAAACGTAATAAGTGAACGGTCCCTAAGACAATAAGTTATTCTCAGCCCAGTAATCAAAACCGTTAAAAGTAAACTGCAACTAAAATCCAGCAAGCAAATAGAGGCCTTTAGCTACTGGAAAGTGATTATAATTATTGCTGGAATCAGGTTGGATAAGAAGAAATTGATAAACTTTAGAATCAAACTTAGGATACAGTTTTAAAGATCAAATCCTTGAAGTAATAAAAATATCAGACCTTCCTGTATTACAATGTTCATTCCAGACGATGATTAAATTTTTAATCTATACAAAATTTATGGCCCAACAAGAATCAAGTTTAATAGCTCGCAATAAATAATTAAAGCTTATGTTTAAAAAGTCTTCAAGTACTCGCAAGTCGTGTGGCAGTAATTAATTAATCAAACTGACTGAAAATGACCTAATTATCAAGTATTGGCCTACAGAATACGTTCCATCAAGTAAGAATAATAATCTTTATGGACACACAGTTCATAATTTGCGATAATAATAAAGAAGTCTCGCCTTACTGCATCAATCATCCTAGAATCTTTATTTAGCAAGTGATTATTATGATTTTCTTGCGTCACAACAATGATTGGATTAAATGTCCCATATCAAGCAGATGAGGAAATTATGGAAAGTTTTCATTCAGCTTGTGTGATTTATCAATTAGCATCTGTTCCATTTCTATCCACAACTCTTTGGTCTACTAAAGACTCAAAGTCAATGCTTTTCGTATACATTATTGAGTCTCCAAAAATGTTCTACACGTGATTGTAGCATGTGATATAAATGTGCTTAAGCATGTGAACTAATATTTCCATTTATTATCAGCATTTTTTTAAAAGTCATTGGAATTTGTAATGCAAGCTATAGGAAGGCTGGTTAGTTTATGCCTCTTATTTCCAATCAACTGTACATTCATGTTACTGATAAGACATAAAGGCACTCAGTTTACAATTGAATCATGAGTGAAATAAAAAATAAAAGTGATAATGCTTAAATAAACAGTTCACGTGCACATCATGAGACTCGTGATACAAATGCGTTTACAAATAATCTTATTAATCACTCTCTTTATTTATTCTCATTTTACAGTCGGACATTGCCATCCAAAAGTAGTTCAAGCGGGCTCGAAGCAAATGGGAATTATATCAACAAATTCTCGATTCCTTCATGATGAAATGCTTGTGTGTGCACAAAATTTACTTAAGCATATTCCAGGCGATTCACTTTCAGTTTGTTACTTTGTCAATAGTGGATCGGAAGCTAATGATTTGGCATTGAGATTGGCGAGAGCTCACACAAAGCAGAAGGATATCATCACTTTGGACCAGTGAGTTATTATTGGATTTTTTGGATATTGAGTAAGAATTCATCCACACTAGATTAGTCTGAATAGCAGAGCCTTTTGGGTTATATCTTATCCCAAACTTTAATTCTTCAGAGTATGTCAAGCCTCAGAGAACTGTTTCAGCTCTAGTTTTAACAATGATTTTTGTCAAGGTTAAGCTTCATGGCTTTTAAATTGAATTTCAAATCTCACATTAAAAATTTCTCTAAGCCATTTGGTCTACTCATACCTTTCCTCTAAAATCGAAAGTATAATAGCTGACTGCTTGCCAAAAAAATTCATACACACCTCCGACTTTTGTCTCGTGCCTTTCCTTTGTTGTTTTCTCTTTTCGCAAAAGAATCAGTAGTTGCCGAGCATGATGACAATTCTGTATACGTTAGATAGCTAAAAATACAATATCACGTTATTTATACTTTATCTTGATGTACGCTGTCATGTGAGGACGAAAAGAAAAATATGAAAATTAAGCTTTGGACTCTTTTTGTTTGAACTTTCTATGACACTGATAACAATCATTATTTGCAATCTGATAACGTGATGAAATTTGAGAATATAAGACTTTTATCAATTGAGGTCGTTAATTTAATATTAATGACATGATTAATCGATTTTTAATCGTATTATTGGGCATGTGATGCTTAACATTCATAATATTGAAATTCCTAAGGTCAATCTCGCAAAAACCAGTAAAATTTCTAAAAATATTTCTTAATCTGTGTTTGATAAGCCTTGATTGTTTTAACCTTGATAATTTCTTCAAGTACCTTCTTATCATTTTTCACATATTTCAAACTATCTGCAATAAATTCTTTAGAAAATAATTAAAAAAAAAACATTTTTTTTGCTCCCCTACAGCGCTTATCATGGACATCTGTTATCAACAATGGAAATATCGCCATACAAGTTCAACCAATCATCGAATATTGACGTGAAAAAACCAGATTATATTCACGTTGTAAGTTACACTCAGAAATCATTTGTTCTTGTCATGTTTTTATTGATAAAACTCTCTTTATTGTTTACAGGCTTCCTGCCCAGATGTATACCGTGGCAAATATCGTGATGTCGATTATCGAGGATGTGATATGGCTGAAGTTTATGCAAACGATGTCAAAGATATCGTTGAGAAAGTAAAGAAAGAAGGTCGAGGAGTCGCTGGATATATTGCTGAATCACTTCAAAGTTGTGGTGGTCAAATCATCTATCCTAAAGGCTACTTACAGAAAGTTTACGATATTGTTCGTAAAGCTGGAGGAGTTTGCATTTCTGATGAGGTTCAAGTGAGTTCTCATACCCAATTTTAAAAGTTTTGATTCTTATTAACGCGTGATTTTCCTTTAGGTTGGATTCGGACGTGCTGGAACCCATTACTGGTCATTTGAAACACAAGACGTTGTACCTGATATTTTGACAGTTGCCAAACCGATGGGAAATGGACATCCAGTTGCAGCTGTTATTGTTACAAGAGAAATTGCTGAAAGTTTTGCACAAACTGGTGTTATGTATTTTAATACTTATGGTGGGAATCCAGTTTCATGTGCCATAGCTAATGCTGTCATGAATGTTATTGAGGATGAGAAGCTTCAAGAAAATTGCTTAGTTGTTGGAGATTATTTAAAGCTTAAAACTGGAGAACTTATGATTGATTTTGATTTGATTGGTGATGTCAGAGGTTTGGGATTGTTTGTTGGCATTGAACTTGTTAAAGATCGAAAGTTGAGAACTCCAGCGACTGAAGAAGCTACATTTGTTGTTGACAGAATGAAGAATGTACACAAAATTCTTGTCAGTTCTGATGGACCTGACGAGAATGTCATTAAACTGAAGCCACCTATGGTTTTTAACAAGGAGAATGCAGACCAATTTTTGGAAGGCTTTAGAGAATGCCTTATGCAACTTAAGGAGATAAAGGTAAAATTAATAAAAATTCCAATTTTAGCATTTTGATGCTTAAGTTTAAATTCATTATTTACAGAGTGTGGAGTCAGTCACAACACAAATGCCATGCAGTTTGACTATAACTGCTTCCAAGATCATTGAGAGTCGGGAACACACTGTCAAGTCTATTTGAGATTAACTTTAGAATTTAAGGTGTAAAATTAATTTGTAAAGCTTCTAGATTTAATGGACTAATGTATATTTAACGACATAAATTTTAAAATTACGAACTTAATCTCAATGCTGATTCCTTAGTTCTATAAGTCATTCCAAAATTTATTACAAAAAGGTTTAAGAACCTTGATCAATTGATATATGATTATTAAAATAAAAAAAAAGCATAAAACAAATCAAGTTATTGCCTTATGTTTTTGCAGAATCAAGTTAAATGTGAAGAATAAAGCCAAATCTGTCAGTAAGATAGGAAGGCTTCTGTAAACAAGTTTTCAAGCAACATTGAGCACAGTAACTCCATCTTTTGAGATTTTTTTTAAATTCATGATTGTTGCAAGCTTGTTTCAATGTTTTTGTGAAATTTAATTCCTTGACAGCAAATTTTCATTAACAGATTGCATTGTAAAAAGTGACTACTATTTAACATTTTCGACTACAAATATGCCAGAACTTCACAGAAATTGCTCAAACTGACAAAGCAATTTGTGCAAATGATCTTAAATCAATAAATCATGACAAAAATTTGTTTAACATGATTTCAAAGAAACAGTGAATTTATGAAGCAACCTAGTGCAAAAGTAGCTTCTTTTTAACATTTTCGACTTCAAATCTGCCAGAACTTCACAGAAATTGCTCAAACTGACAAAGCAATTTGTGCAAATGATCTTAAATCAATAAATCATGACAAAAATTTGTTTAACATGATTTCAAAGAAACAGTGAATTTATGAAGCAACCTAGTGCAAAAGTAGCTTCTTTTTAACATTTTCGACTTCAAATATGCCAGAACTTCACAGAAATTGCTCAAACTGACAAAGCAATTTGTGTGAATCAATTAAACATGACAAAAAATTTATATAACATGATTTCAAAGATACAGTGAATTTATGAAGCAACCTAGTGCTAAAGTAGCTTCTTTTTAACATTTTTGACTTCAAATATGCCAGAATTTCACAGAAATTGCTCAAACTGACAAAGCAATTTGTGCAAATGATCTTAAATCAATAAAACATGACAAAAAATTTATATAACATGATTTCAAAGATACAGTGAATTTATGAAGCAACCTAGTGCTAAAGTAGCTTCTTTTTAACATTTTTGACTTCAAATATGCCAGAACTTCACAGAAATTGCTCAAACTGACAAAGCAATTTGTGCAAATGATCTTAAATCAATAAAACATGACAAAAAATTTATATAACATGATTTCAAAGATACAGTGAATTTATGAAGCACCCTAGTGCTAAAGTAGCTTCTTTTTAACATTTTTGACTTCAAATATGCCAGAACTTCACAGAAATTGCTCAAACTGACAAAGCAATGTGTGCAAATGATCTTAAATCAATAAAACATGACAAAAAATTTATATAACATGATTTCAAAGATACAGTGAATTTATGAAGCACCCTAGTGCTAAAGTAGCTTCTTTTTAACATTTTTGACTTCAAATATGCCAGAACTTCACAGAAATTGCTCAAACTGACAAAGCAATTTGTGCAAATGATCTTAAATCAATAAAACAGGACAAAAAATTTATATAACATGATTTCAAAGATACAGTGAATTTATGAAGCAACCTAGTACTAAAGTAGCTTCTTTTTAACATTTTCGACTACAAATCTGCCAGAACTTCACAGAAACTGCACAAGCTGACAAAGCAATTTGTGCAAATGATCTTAAATCAATAAAACATGACAAAAAATTTATATAACATGATTTCAAAGATACAGTGAATTTATGAAGCAACCTAGTGCTAAAGTAGCTTCTTTTTAACATTTTCGACTACAAATCTGCCAGAACTTCACAGAAACTGCACAAGCTGACAAAGCAATTTGTGCAAATGATCTTAAATCAATAAAACATGACAAAAAATTTATATAACATGATTTCAAAGATACAGTGAATTTATGAAGCAACCTAGTGCTAAAGTAGCTTCTTTTTAACATTTTCGACTACAAATCTGCCAGAACTTCACAGAAACTGCACAAGCTGACAAAGCAATTTGTGCAAATGATCTTAAATCAATAAAACATGACAAAAAATTTATATAACATGATTTCAAAGATACAGTGAATTTATGAAGCAACCTAGTGCTAAAGTAGCTTCTTTTTAACATTTTCGACTGCAAATCTGCCAGAACTTCACAGAAATTGCTCAAACTGACAAAGCAATTGGTGCATATGATCTTAAATCAATAAAACATAACAAAAATTTATATAACATGATTTCAAAGATACAGTGAATTTATGAAGCAACCTAGTGCTAAAGAAGCTACTATTTAACATTTTCGACTACAAATCTGCCAGAACTTCACAGATATTGCTCAAACTGACAAAGCAATTTGTGCAAATGATCTTAAATCAATTAAACATGACAAAAAATTTATATAACATGATTTCAAAGATACAGTGAATTTATGAAGCACCCTAGTGCTAAAGTAGCTTCTTTTTAACATTTTTGACTTCAAATATGCCAGAACTTCACAGAAATTGCTCAAACTGACAAAGCAATTTGTGCAAATGATCTTAAATCAATAAAACATGACAAAAAATTTATATAACATGATTTCAAAGATACAGTGAATTTATGAAGCAACCTAGTGCTAAAGTAGCTTCTTTTTAACATTTTCGACTACAAATCTGCCAGAACTTCACAGAAACTGCACAAGCTGACAAAGCAATTTGTGCAAATGATCTTAAATCAATAAAACATGACAAAAAATTTATATAACATGATTTCAAAGATACAGTGAATTTATGAAGCAACCTAGTGCTAAAGTAGCTTCTTTTTAACATTTTCGACTGCAAATCTGCCAGAACTTCACAGAAATTGCTCAAACTGACAAAGCAATTGGTGCATATGATCTTAAATCAATAAAACATAACAAAAATTTATATAACATGATTTCAAAGATACAGTGAATTTATGAAGCAACCTAGTGCTAAAGAAGCTACTATTTAACATTTTCGACTACAAATCTGCCAGAACTTCACAGATATTGCTCAAACTGACAAAGCAATTTGTGCAAATGATCTTAAATCAATTAAACATGACAAAAAATTTATATAACATGATTTCAAAGATACAGTGAATTTATGAAGCACCCTAGTGCTAAAGTAGCTTCTTTTTAACATTTTTGACTTCAAATATGCCAGAACTTCACAGAAATTGCTCAAACTGACAAAGCAATTTGTGCAAATGATCTTAAATCAATAAAACATGACAAAAAATTTATATAACATGATTTCAAAGATACAGTGAATTTATGAAGCAACCTAGTGCTAAAGTAGCTTCTTTTTAACATTTTCGACTACAAATCTGCCAGAACTTCACAGAAACTGCACAAGCTGACAAAGCAATTTGTGCAAATGATCTTAAATCAATAAAACATGACAAAAAATTTATATAACATGATTTCAAAGATACAGTGAATTTATGAAGCAACCTAGTGCTAAAGTAGCTTCTTTTTAACATTTTCGACTGCAAATCTGCCAGAACTTCACAGAAATTGCTCAAACTGACAAAGCAATTGGTGCATATGATCTTAAATCAATAAAACATAACAAAAATTTATATAACATGATTTCAAAGATACAGTGAATTTATGAAGCAACCTAGTGCTAAAGTAGCTTCTTTTTAACATTTTCGACTACAAATCTGCCAGAACTTCACAGAAACTGCACAAGCTGACAAAGCAATTTGTGCAAATGATCTTAAATCAATAAAACATGACAAAAAATTTATATAACATGATTTCAAAGATACAGTGAATTTATGAAGCAACCTAGTGCTAAAGTAGCTTCTTTTTAACATTTTCGACTACAAATCTGCCAGAACTTCACAGAAACTGCACAAGCTGACAAAGCAATTTGTGCATATAATCTTAAATCAATAAAACATGACAAAAAATTTATATAACATGATTTCAAAGATACAGTGAATTTATGAAGCAACCTAGTGCTAAAGTAGCTTCTTTTTAACATTTTTGACTTCAAATATGCCAGAATTTCACAGAAACTGCACAAGCTGACAAAGCAATTGGTGCATATGATCTTAAATCAATAAAACATGACAAAAAATTTATATAACATGATTTCAAAGATACAGTGAATTTATGAAGCAACCTAGAGCAAAAGTAGCTTCTTTTTAACATTTTCGACTTCAAATATGCCAGAACTTCACAGAAATTGCTCAAACTGACAAAGCAATTGGTGCAAATGATCTTAAATCAATAAAACATGACAAAAAATTAATATAACATGATTTCAAAGATACAGTGAATTTATGAAGCAACCTAGTGCTAAAGTAGCTACTATTTAACATTTTCGACTACAAATCTGCCAGAACTTCACAGAAACTGCACAAGCTGACAAAGCAATTTGTGCATATGATTTTAAATCAATAAAACATGACAAAAAATTAATATAACATGATTTCAAAGATACAGTGAATTTATGAAGCAACCTAGTGCTAAAGTAGCTACTATTTAACATTTTCGACTACAAATCTGCCAGAACCTCACAGAAACTGCACAAGCTGACAAAGCAATTTGTGCATATGATCTTAAATCAATAAAACATGACAAAAAATTTATATAACATGATTTCAAAGATACAGTGAATTTATGAAGCAACCTAGAGCAAAAGTAGCTTCTTTTTAACATTTTCGACTTCAAATATGCCAGAACTTCACAGAAATTGCTCAAACTGAATAAAGCAATTGGTGCATATGATCTTAAATCAATAAAACATGACAAAAAATTAATATAACATGATTTCAAAGATACAGTGAATTTATGAAGCAACCTAGTGCTAAAGTAGCTACTATTTAACATTTTCGACTACAAATCTGCCAGAACTTCACAGAAACTGCACAAGCTGACAAAGCAATTTGTGCATATGATCTTAAATCAATAAAACATGACAAAAAATTTATATAACATGATTTCAAAGATACAGTAAATTTATGATGCAACCTAGTGCAAAAGTAGCTACTATTTAACATTTTCGACTGCAAATATGCCAGAACTTCACAGAAATTGCACAAGCTGACAAAGCAATTGGTGCATATGATCTTAAATCAATAAAACATGACAAAAAATTTATATAACATGATTTCAAAGATACAGTGAATTTATGAAGCAACCTAGTG